CTCCCATCCCCCTTTATGAAGCATGGAAAGACTCACCGAATGCTAAGCTCGGGCGAATACTTGGCATCCCACTTGACGCTCACACCTCCCTTCTCGGCGCTCAGCTTCATCTTCATATCCTGGACGACCCCTTCAACCACTGCTTGAATTCGATGACAGGTAGAGAAACGAACCTTCATCTCTCCAGACTCTTCGGCTTCCTTACCATACAACCCGGTTGAAGCATCAGGTTGAGGCGCAGAGTCAAGCAACTCCTTGACATCGAACGAGGCATCTCCAATGTGGTCGTTGGACGATAACTTGTCCCAATCGAGGATCGAAAAGTGGACCTGCGGAAGCAAAGCGTCAGCCCGCTCGTTTGCCCCGTGGTTAAAGATGTGAAGGAAAAAGACGCTCACCTTGAACCCAATCTCATACCGCCTCACGTGGAACAACAGCTTTTCATCCCACACCGGGTTCCTCGAATGCCGAATAACCCGTGTCCTAAACACCTTTTTGCCAAACGAGATGACGACAAAGGGGTCCATATCCCAGCCTGTACGTGTCACTGTCGAAGGCGAGCGTCAGCGAAGCGTTCCCCGATTCTCGGTGGTCTAAATGCAAAGTGACTTGGAGAGAAAAGAATGGAAAAAGACACTCACTATTACTCAACTTGGGTAAATCCTCCGCACTCCTAATCTCAAGCATAACAATCCCCACAATATCATTATCCGTGCCCAGACTATACTCTTTCCCTCCCTTGCCTCCACTTCCCTTGATCTTCCTCCCGACCCTCTTTCGACGCCTCTTCTTTTTACCCTCTCCATCTTCCGCAGAAGCCAGTCCAGAAGCAGAAGTCGAACCAGACGTAGTGGTGGGACTGTCAACGAACGACGAAGGATCGCTTGCTTCCCTCGTCTTGGTCTTTCTCCCGAATTTCTTCGACTTGGACGATGCCAGTGCACTTGAATCTTCAGGGGACGACGATACCCCTCCCACTCCTCCGAGCTCGCTAACAGGCTCCGCAACCAACGATACAGAGCTGCTACTCGCAGAAGACTTGGTCGTAGCAGTACTCTTGGACGAAAGTCGGCGGGGGATCATCTTGGAGATCGAGAATGTCGACGAAAGCCTTTGGACTTTACTCGGCTTGGCAGGGGCCTCTTTCGTCTCCTGCGCGGTGAAGGATTCCTTGGCAGACGACGCGGATGCAGGCGTTGCTAGATCTTTGGGAGTCGACACGGTAGTGGGAGGCGAAACGACCACAGGTGGAGGAGAGGCCACCTTTCCACTGGGCGTCAGCGTAGGCGGGGCCGCAGGGCCTTGGATCTCATGTTGCTCGTGCGTCTTCTTGTCGCCACTGGTAACACCATCACCAGCCATCTGAGCACCGATCGCACCCAACGACCTCTCCTGAGGCCTCGCACCCGTGATCGTCGCCGCACTCCCAGGCACCTCGGGCAACGTAGGCGTAGGCAACGTCGCTTCCTGCGTTGGCGTCGTCGGGCTCTTGAACCCGTCCAATTTGTTATAGTCGAGGTTGAGGCTTGGAGGAGGGATGGAGGTGTTGGTGTTCAACGAAGGTGCGCCGGAGGTGGATCGGGTCATGGGTGAGGGTGTGTTGTTGCCTTGGGTGGTGGCGATTGTCGAGGTGGAGGTGGCAGAGGAAGTCGAGGTTGACGAAGGGACTACGGATATCCATCAGCCTTGATGACGAAGATGAGGAAAAGAAGGGAGGAAAGGTAAACGCACCAGCCAGCCCCAACGCCTGGTTCACAACTCGTTCATGCATCTCCCTCTCCCTCTCTTCTTCAGCCAACTGTCTCCTCCTCGCCCTCTCCTCACTCCCGATTCCGCCTTGCCCGTCCGATGCATCTTCGTATTCGCTCTCGCTTTCACTTTCGCTTTCGGAATCTGTACCTGATTCTGATTCTGATTCTGAGCCTTCGTCTTCGGAGGATGAGAGGCCTCCGTCGTCTTCAAAGAGGGGATGGGTGGAACGTTGTTGGTGTGAGCGGATTGTGCCTACGCCTTCGGTCTGCATGGAGAAAGCGTTAGCGTGTAAGAGAAGGAGAAAAAGAAGGAGTACGTACCGGAGGCGCACTGACAAGACTCGGCCGACTCCTCCTCACAAAGTTGGTATAAACCTCTTCAAAGTACTTTTCTCGCTCAATCTCGCCGGGTCGTCCTTCAGGGAACGCAGATTGCGAATTCGGAGTAAGAACGAATCCGAGCTTGATGGTGATAGTACCAGTAGCGACGGTATGCGATTTCGTGGAGAGCAAGCTGAGAGCGAAGGACTAGGAAGGTATCAGCATCATCGAGATATAAGAGAGAGAAAGGCCAAGAAGACAGCCAGACGCACATCGTTCTTGGAACTCTCCCAGTCCAACGTCCTCTTCTTTCCCCTTCCTCCTCCTTCATCGTCATCTTGGTGGTCGACGAACCAGGCTTCGAGTGGTATACCCACCTCGCCTAGGTAATCTTTTCCGAATGTGTCCTTGTCCCAGACGATGAGTTCGAGGACGCCGAGTTTGTCTTGGAGACCTGGATCGGTGTTAGGAGGGGACTTGGGGCGTACAAAAGAAGGGGTAGATGGAGAGGAGAGGAGAGACACGTACTGGCGTAGAGAGGAAAGTCGAATGTCGCGGTTGAGGCGGCGTAGGTTGGGTTGAGGGTCTTCTTGGATACGGGTGTGTTGTAGCGCGTTGAAAGGAGCGAGCAGACTACGAATCTATACGGGGATGGTGGTCAATTCATGAAATGAGCGGATAAGGCGGGACGAAGGCTTGGAAATGGGTACAAGTACAAGGATGATGGGCGCCCAGGGTAACAATGGACACCAGGCCGTCAGGGCCGTGCAGAGCGCTGATGTCATGACGATGCCTGCAAGTGATCTCGAGGCCGTCGATTGCTTTTCCATCGGTCCGTGCACGCACAGCCGAATGGGTAGCGGTGGAGCATAGGGACGAAGAATCAAGAGCAAGAGCAGGAGATGTAGGGAAGGAACATAGAAAATGAGAGAAATAACGTACGGATCGCTCGTCCCACCCCGATCTTTCGCAATCAGCCCTTCACATCCCAAGATCTGCAAGCGCAGGATGACCATCGGTTCTTCGCCTGGCTGAGGGTTCATAGAGGTCGAGGTGGAGCGTCTGCCTTTGCTTGCTGTCGTTGCGGCATTGTGGATTCAGGAGTGGTCGTACGGCCAGTCGCATGGGGTGGCAGAGGATGGTGTCGTCGAAAAGGATGAATGATAGCAAGAGATAGAAAGGATTAGGGAACTATGCCAGAGATACTGGGATCAGGAGTGCGCACCTCGAATTCCTTTAACAGGGAGAAGGGCAGCACTCTTGAGCGCCCGCCCGATCTTCTGTGCAGGAGCCATTCTTGAAGTGGCTGCACGTTCTTCGTCCTTTTAGGATGTTGGTATGGGTGGTATTCGTTCAGTGGCGTCCAGTCGTGTTCAGGGGTCCAATAAGCAGCAGTTCAGTACGTCAGTATTCTTCCAGTCAGTTTTAGCTTTGCTTGTCGAGCGAATAGATTCTTGAAGTAAATGTCGAAGTCGATGATAAAAGGCGGTTGTGTACCTGGATGATGAGCGTAACAAAGAACCCAGTAGTAGTTGGTGACCAAGTTGGCGACAGACACAGCCCGCACCACAAAAGTACCACAGCACACGGCAAAGAGAAACGGCACAAGATATTCCGCAGCAACCCGTCATCAGCACATTCAAATCCAAGACACATGCATACAACTCACACAAGTAGACTTGGAGTTCCTCCTTCCTTGTCTCTCGGCCTGCTTGTTCGCCTCGGTATGACTGCGTTCAGGAACCCGAGTTCGCTGCTGTTCTCCTCCTATGTATGTCCTTCTTGCGAATCCTTTGCCGGTAGATACCGATGTCCAAGGAACGCCGATGACGGTGACGAGGCCCCCCTTGCGTCCACCGCGTGCGGAGTGGTGTTGTCGAGGATTATGGTGTGGAGATGATGATGAGCCTGAGAGAGCCCCCCCGATTGCGATGGGCTGGGCGGGCGATCCACACAGTGATTGATGATGATGCGGATCATTGCATCATCGGCAGGGTAGCATCCCACACCCTGTCTCCTTGGGCGCCTAAGTCTTCTTGTGGCTGGAGTAGTATACTCTTGATATTTTGTTGGTTCAAGCCACCGGGATTGACTCTATGATCTTTACTAACATCGCCCTTTGCTCTGTTCGACCTTTCAGTGCCCCTCTTTGACGCACCATTGCCTCATTCAGTGCCTTAGTAGTCGTTTCGTCCTGATATATAACACCATCTATATTCGGTTGGTACATTAATGGGATAGTGGTAACCTGGTTGATTTCTTTGGAATAGAGATCTTCGTGGTCAACCCGCCGGGGGTTCGATTCTCTCTTGATACGGTACTCGGCCATGTAGTGTGATTGATTTCTTTTGACAAAAACTTTCCTCCACGATAAGCATTCAGCACGCCACTCCTTGCTCACCTCTTCTCCCACTCAGACACCGATTTTCCTACCATTGAGAGTTTTTTGAAAAAATAAAAAGAGCAACCTTGAGGAAGCGGTCTCCCTTGCGTGTTTTCGGATTGTGTGAGGTGAGGAGATCATGCCGTGGGTTCGATTCCCTCCCGATGCTATCCAGGTATTACCGCGATTTTTGGCTCTCCCCGACTCCACAGTCTAGCTGCTAGATATTCCGAATCGCAAAGGTCGGTACGTTTTCTGGAAGAATCTTACTCCCCTTTGGTCTAGGGTCGCCTGTTTTGTCCCTAGGTCCCTGTCCACGTGGGCAGCTATTTTATCTTATTTTCACCTTACATATCGACCAGTTCCGTGAAGCATTGAAGAGAAAGGAAGGTGAACAATTCCACGGTTCTTTCTCTCTGTCATTCCATCTCTAATGTCAGTCAGTGAACAGCATCTTTGTGCATCTGGGAACGTCTTGCTTTGTCGTTCTGTTGTTTAGTGGCTGTTTCACCCAAGATCTCAACCAGTCTCGCTCTGTGCATATTGCATTAATGGGGTAGTGGTAACCTGGGTCGTTCATCTTCAACATTCGAATCAGAGTCCTGTATATGTCGACCTGCCGGGGGTTCGACTCCCTCTTAATGCATAGAGGCCCTTTTCCGGTATATGCCCGTTTTTTCTGAGCTGTATGCCTGTATCTGATTGCCCTCTTGTCTTTTATCGGTTCTAGGCCTTTTCAAAGCAATCAAGGACTGCATTTCGTGGGGATTTGGAATTTGTTGCCCTTTGTGGCGCGATCGGGCGATGCGCTGGCCTCAATAGCTATTTAGTACCCAGCATAAGTACTCGAGGCAGCTGCTCGGCACGCTACAGTGTCCAGAAGCCACCAATTTAACTTGTTCCAAAGGTATCAATGGACGAGTCGTAGTTTGGCTCAACCTAGACGTCGGACTGAGCATTGTCTGCAGAGAGGGTTCGACTCCCTTGAAGTGCCCTGGTTTCTTTGAGGATCACGATGTATTTTTTCCCTCTCTGCTTCCTGTCTTTTCCACTATGGAGGTTCTCATCTAAACGCAGAAGCGTGGGTTTGAGGACTTCAGATTGGATGAAGGGTAAGTAGTAACTGAGATATACCAGACAGAGCGAGTGGATGCCGTGCCCAGCGTAATTTGGAGGGCCTGACGATGCAGCTGCGAGCGCACGCTTGCCATTGGTACGCAGTAGCGTACTTGCATCTACTTCCCTGAGCTCCGGCGGTCGATTATGCACGCCGCCTTTGTCTTGAACCTCCTATGCTGAAGCTCTGTGGACGATGTTAGTCTAACTTGGTCTGCCGTCAACTTGCCTGACAAATGCGCACAAATTAGACAGTGGTACTTCTGTAATGCCTTTCGGAAGTCTTTGCTCAGGGTTCGATTCCCTATGACTGCGATAGATCGGCACCATGCGTTTTTTATTCGTCTCCCTGATAGCTCATGTAATGACCCCTGGCGAAGAGACATTGGTACTATCATGGAATTGCGCAAATGTATTGGAAAAGCAATACATAGACGACCAAAGATGAGCGAAAATCTTGGGATTGCGGAGCTGATGCGAGTATGCAAACCAATGGGCTACTGAAGGCCTTCTCCCTCCTTACTATCGAAGTCAAACTACGCTGTTATTTATTCTCAGAAGACGGTGATGAAATATTGGACGCTTGTGGCTGGAATGGCAAATGCCCCATAATGATAACCAGCAGGGGTTCGGTATTCTTGAATACTTCCCTAGGGATGGATTCGTTAACCAAGGGTCCATCGCTTTGAGATGGATTGGGTGCTCCCATGTAACGCTGTGATTCATACAGCGACGAAGGCGTATGCAAGGGTCTTCTGTAGTTCTTCCAAGAGGCTATGTAGAACGCTTTCAAAAGAGACATCAGGCCTTGACAAAAGGTGCTTGTTGAGTATGTCAATGAAGTGACTGTATACTACCAAAAGAGATGGTCCCCCCAGAGCGGACTGAAAAACGCGATGAGAACAAGCAACATGGCTCCAAGCCCGATTATGATGGCAAAGCCAGCCGGGACAACCCACAATGTCGCAAAGGCGACTTTCATAAACCATGACATATCGTCGAATGTCTTCCATGGCTCGTAAACTCCGAAACCCCATAGACCTATCCACCCGCCAGCGAATAGGAAAGCCACGACATGGCTAACAACATAGATGATTGATATTAGCAGATTGAGGACTGATGCAGACAAGATGTGAACTTTAATTCGCCAGGAAATCTAGCTCAACTACTTACGCATATTGCGCAGCCCCGTACTTGCCTGAAGAGAGATGTTGGATGAAGGCAAAGACTTCCAGATCCATTCTACCAACCCAGTCCGCTCATTAGGGTCGTCCGCTTCTCGCCTTGGCCATGGCCAAATGCAAGGAATGCAATCACCGGCCTTCCCTGCGATCGGCGCTAACATCGTTACCAAGGAATACACGAGGAGCAAAGTTCCACCGACTCCGATCGGCAGCCAAATGATTGCAAACGACAACCAAAGCATTGGAAGTAATACGTTCGTCAAGAGTTTATCGATCGGCGTCGAGGTGGGTTGACCGGGATCTTTCTCTGGATTGCCGGACCAGACGTCGCGAGCCCCTAACGCCCAGAGGTAGTTATAGCGAGAGGTGAAAGCGAGGCCAAGGAAGTGCATCAGAACAAGGAACAACAGGCGAGAGATGGAAAGCACTAAACGTTCCGTTACTACGTAGGCAGCGAGGTGCACCCATTATGATCTCACGTTGCTTTCCATAATCTTCCTCAAACAAGAGCGGTAAAACCCGTGTCGTGCTGGCTTCGTATAGCCCAAGGCAATAAAAGCTATAGAAGCAAATGCGTAAACGTCAAGAAAAGCAATCTGCGCGATAAGAAGCAGCTTGAAAGCCTGGCTCACGAGACGGTAATTATAACCCCAAAGACCCATTCTATTGTGGTTGGCTCTGTTGACTTTCCCTTGAAAGATAGCGCAGCCTTTAAGGAGCCGACCCCAACGACACAGAGGGTGACCAAGAATCTGTAGCCTGTGATTGGAGGGTGCTTCGGCTTGAGAAGGAGACGGGTATCGACCTCTTCTGTTTGGTACCCTCGGAGGGCGGATAGAAATGCGCCTTAAGAACGGCCAGACCAGGTTCATGATGTCGAGCTTAAAGAGCCATCTGGGTCGGGCATCTTCCCTTGACTCTACGTTGTTGAAAATCAGGAATCTAGGTAAAATTAAGCAGCCATTTGATGCCATTATTAGCTGGGGACGTACATGATGAACAGCACAATCGTCATGAACCATTCGATTGTCACTGGTGCAATAGTATCACCCCGGTACGCCGTTACTGCTTTTGCAGTTCCAAGGCCAATCGTGGCGAAGATTGCCAGGAGGCGAGCGCCGGTGAGCTTGGGATGCCATGGAGAGGTTACAGGGTTCGAGCTCTCCGGCCAGGGAGGAACATCTAGTTCGATAGGGGATTCGGAGCTGCCAGCTGTGGGAGTTGGGGTCTGTACGCCGTGCTTGTGCATGGCTCAAGACGTAGTTAGAAGGGAAAGGCAAGAAATTAATTTCTACCACGCTTGGGGGCTATGCACAAAATATTCTGGCTGTCACCCCGCCAGGGACAAAGGAATGGCAATGAGATCGTCGTCCCACCCTTTGATTTGAGCTACTGAGGGGGGCGTGAGTTACACAATAACAGCAGATAGCAACATTGTCGTCTAATCTGGCATCCAGGGGGTGCTGAATGCCAGTGCAGGCGTTTTCGGCGATTAGCTCGCCGTTACTACCTTGAGACATCAGTAGTAAAACTGCAGATCACTTTTTGGACTTGCCCAAGTGGGAAAAGCGCCGAAAAGGGCCTAAAAGTGACGAAAAGTGCCAAAGAGGGCAAGTCCGAAAGAAGAGTACCTTTTTATAGAAAGTGATGCAAACAGAATGTGCCGAAAGTGCCGCCGTGGTGGGGCTGGTGCGACAAGCACCCTACACCTTCAGAAAGTTCAACAGAGGCTCAGCTCAGGGCCTCAATACAGCCCTAGCCGTGCAACATAAACCAGAGAGGCGTATTTTAGAAGCCTTGCGAGAGCCACTGGTTGCCTCAGGGACACTATCCGAACAAAAGTTTTGCCCGAGTCTTCCAGTTGTACTCTTACACTAATGACCGTTATGAGATGCTAGTCGTATTTTGAATACAAAATACACTCAATAGAGACACTCTACATGACTTTCAGCAATTTTTAACGATCAGAACGAAGTTGAGGAAGTTCGAGAAACCCTCTTCAACAAGTGGCCATCGTCACTTTCCCCACTTTCCACTTTCTGACTTGCCGGAAGTGGAAAAGTCCGAAAAAATGCGAAAGTGATCGGTAGATTACTGATGGAGGCTTAGTATATTTGCGAATCTAAAGGCCTCGTGCGCAGCCACTTTCATGGGGGCATAGCTCAGTTGGGAGAGCAGTAGACTGAAGCGTGAAAGCGTATTCTAAAGGTCCCGCGTTCGATCCGCGGTGCCCCCATTTTTGAGTTGGGGATACACGTTCATTTTTGTCTTTTGGGGCTCCATTCCATAGGGGACTTCTGTACATTTCACAGCGAGAAACGGGAAGCCATGATCAAGGCAATCGTGCAGCCGACATGGAGTTGGATCCTCCTGAACCTGGATCGAGTGATTCCTTCCGTGGATCGAAGTTTGCAAGCTTTTATTCGAAGGCCCGTTAAGCTCATCATGTGAAGTTTAAACTTCAAACGGTCATTAAAACTTAATAGTTTGTCTGTTTGATGCTCAGGATCGAATTTTAGCTGCTGAGTGCGATACCTCGAGGCTACATGTTCGACGAATTACCCCAGAACCCAATCAGGGTTGTGACGCTGGACCAAGAGCCCAAAGAAACCCACTCACTTACCACTGAATGGTGGTGCATCTGTCCCCGCAGCAACGCCGGTGGCAGCGTGATAGAAAGAAGGAGGAACAGGTGACCTGGAGCGGGACTACTGGCGGAGTCTTAACTATTCGCTTATAACAGGCTTGGATGACTTTTCTCCCTTGTCTCTTCTCCCTCTCCCCCGAATCCAAATTTCCCGTTGTAAGCACGCCGTTCGGTGCCTGCCTGTGACTCCTTTCCTCACCTGTGTCTTGCAGGTCCTTTTTGAAATCATGTCCGCCAAAATCTACGTCGGGTTCGTGCTGGTTATCGTATCGCATCGTTGATCGATGGTCGTCGATTCTCCTCATCGTTTCATTTTTGAGGAATGGAACCTTGAGGAAAGATAACACGATTGTACTAATACATGCCTTCTGAATAGTAACCTTAGTTGGAACACGACAGATGAGACTCTGCGCCAGGTCCGTAGCCCTGTACAAGGGTGTCCCATATACATGAACAAAATCCTCAATGTGTTTTTGAAATTATCAGGCATTCTCGGATTATGGCAACGTTCTCGATGTGCGCTATCCTCTCTCTCTATCTCTCTCTTTTGTTTCCCCATCTTTCCTGCGCTTTTGCACCTTCTCTGAGGGAATGTCGTGTGCTTGCGCTCGTCGTCCAGAGAATCCAGCATACGCTCGTTGATCAAGTCGATGATCGCACCCATCTGTTGTTCATTCGTGGCCTCGGTGACTGATTTGG